CCCAGTCATACTATGGAGACTACGAAATCGTCATATCTTTAACGAAATACACACATCAAAAAGCGAAACAGCCTCCATAGTCTGGGGAGCTGGCACGCACCAAGTCATGGCGGTAGCTAGCTCATGGAAGGCGCAACCATCAAAGCGGATATTGGGTGTGTGTCTGGAACTATGCCATAGAATCATGATATCTGTTCACCCTGAAATGGATATGGAACATCTGGAAACCTGGCTAATTCGTTACTACGCGAGAAATCCTCCCGGAAAAGAGTCCCAAGGAGGATGGCTAGTATACCATTTAGAAAGAGAAGACGCGTGGAAGCTCCATGTAGCTGGTAGCAACACATTTAACCACCAGCAATCCCGCTCAAAACTTGATCTACTCGTCCTCGAACAAGCAGACAAGCCATTTGCCGTCAAGATGAGCCTCAGAGAATTATCCTATTGATTGATACCATCAATTCACGAGCCTCCAGCATTCTCAGAAAAGACTCAGAAGATAAGGCCGACTACAACGACTGCCGTAATCTCAGTGCACTAGCCTCATTCTTCAGGATACAGTGGAGAAAACCGAAGCTAGCGGCATTCACAGCAGCCAAGAAACTGGCTGCAATGGACCAAAATGCAACATATATATTCGACAATACAAACAGGATGACCCACCGAAGCGCGTTCGAAGAGTATCTTCAGAACAAATTCAACAAAAGGCAAACCCTCAGCCATACAGAAAGACGGACTCCATTGAGAACCGTTTAATAGCGTATCATAGTGAGGCTTCTATAGGATAAAACATACCCAAATAGAAGGCCGTTTGAACCACCACACTCTGCGATTCGCTGTCAGATTGCTCCTGCTCACCGCTCCCGACCAACGCCGTCAAGGGCCCCGCCCTTGCCGCGCCTCACGCTCGTCCCAGCGCACCATCGCCGTCTCGACCCCACGCCGTAGCCTTCGCCGTAATCGTCCACGTGTGGGGTCGCCAGACTAACTGCTTCGCCCAGCGGCCGAGCCTGTGCCGTCGCACGTGCGTCTCTCCCTCCAAGCTGATCATGCCCTTCAGGAACGCGCTGACGAACCACTCTTTGCCCACGTCGGATCTCGCGCGGCACCTGTGCGTATTGAACCAACCCCTCGCCCTTCATCTGCCTCCTGGCGGACAACCACCTCCGGATCCGTGCGTTGCGTCATGTACATTGCGCGCAGCAGCTCGGCATATGGGTCGATGTTTTCTTCTTCAGGCGATACTGATTTGATCACCGTCGCAAACCAGCGCTTCGACTCGCCGTCCAAGTGCGATGCAACCTCGTGGTAGAGCTGGTCGTCTCTCCACTTCGTGCCCACTGTCACCACCTGCCGACGGACTTCGGCCTTCACCGTCTTGAGCTACATCGTGACCGGCATCGTATCATCCAGCCATTTTTAATTCGCAAGCTTGAACGCCTTCGCTTTCTCGCGCACAGTCACCTGTCGTATCGGATAGTCTCTCTCTCCCGCGGAGTACCCCTCTAGCGCCGATGCCACTAGAGCGACTGGTAGAGCACGACCGGGACCACCACCGTCTTTGCCACCGCCGTTCCCAGTTCCTGTCAGCTACACCGCGATACCTACGTCAACGTCTTGGTTCTCGTTTGCGCTCGCGACCACTCCGTCTTCGCCATCTCGTGGAGCGTCGTCTCCGCCTCGTCCTACTTCAGTGCTCCGTCCCGCTCCTGGGCTGCCGTCCGTACCGCTTACCGCCGACGCACTTCTGCCCCTGCTGCTAAAGGTGAAGCCGCCCAGGCTCAGGTTCATAGACGTGCGTCCCGTGATCGTCCTGATCTCGCCCGTCTCCAGCGTCACTACAGCACCGCCACCCCACCCGTGTCCACGGACGTCGGTGCTCCTGGTTGCCGCTTCTCCATGGACGTTTCCTGCACAGCGCTTATAGCTCTCTCCTGCGAAGCCGTACGTCGTTGAGCGCGTTCGTTCCGTTCCGTACCCAACGTCATGATTGGATCTCTGTAATTTAAAATACAATCACCTCTCTTAGTTCCTCTTTCTGTTCGTCCCCTGGCAATCTTTGCCCGGGGTTGCTCATCCGCCACGGCTCCACGGCAACCACAGCTAGGGTTCGCTCCCCTATCTGCCCCTCAGCACCCATAGACCACAGCTAGGTCCGTGCTGCTCTCTCACGAGGGCTCGTCCGCTAACGCCAGGCCCGCAGCAACAACAGCTAGGTTCTTCACGGAGGCCCCCTGTATGACCTCAATGTCGGTAATGTCTCCGGTGAGAACTGACCTCCTTTCTCGTCCGGGCCAGCTAAACACTCCTAAGACAGGATCGTGGCAGCATCAAACACCCTAGGGCGGCCGTGAAGCTCCTCAGATAGTGCTCGGGAGGGCAGTACGGGAGATTCTACTCAGACAGCTACTGGGCCGTTTGGATCAGCCCACTCAAACGGACAGGGACAGCGAGGAGGACACATTATGGGGCGATCGGCATCGGCGTGAAGGGTCTGGGACTGTGTCTCGCAAAGTGAACCCGTATTTCACACAAGATACACTGGTTCGTGAGCTTCGGGACGACAGCCGTATTCGAGCTCTGCCTTCTCGATCGACCGCTACGACTCAGTCTCTTCATGACTCCCGCACCCTACGGTCCTACTGCCCTCGAGCTACC